TCACGACCATACTACCGTAGGAAATCATATACGTTACGTTAGCATATATAAGAAAAAATTCAGAACTACTTGGCAAGTGGCACCCAGGGTGGGCGGTACATCCCTATGGGGTAGATCAGAATTGCTCGAAACTACGTACTTTTTATAAGCTTTTGTTACGAACTTTTTCATTAAAACTAAGGCATTATATCGTGTTAGTGCTTTTACGGGCTTTTTCATGAATTTCCAGTTTTAAACCTCAGCTGTTTTTCAGTTACCTTTTCAAGGTAACAGAACGAAGAAAGCAGCCTCCCGAGAGAAACCCGAAAGGCTTTTCCAATCACATGCCAAGTTTGGGCCTCACGGTCTAGAAGTTATAGGAGGTCATAAATTTTTAACCAAAAAAAAAAAAGGTAAACATAAGAGAGGAGTGCAACACGAGGACTTCCCGGGGAGGTCACACCATCCTAGTACTACTCTCGCCCAAGCACGCTTAACTGCGGAGTTCTGATGGGATCCGGTGCATTAGTGCTGGTATGATCGCATCCTTTAGTATATGCAATGCAATCGTATATATTCTTTTTGAAGACTTGATGAACCATTCGCCGTGGGTCCACCCCGCTATGTAGGGAAACCCCATCTATCTTAACGAGCCTTGATGCATGAAAAATTCGAAAGACAATGCTTGAACAAGTAATTTTGGGTCCGTATATAGCAAAATCACGAAAAATGCCCGAAAAAGTACTTAAAGGGTCAAAATTTGGGGGTCGACAAAAAGTCAATGGAAAAGTTTCCATTGTCCTGCTTATTTCGGCGGAGGGCTGTCTTTGGCTTTCCGAAAGGTATCACATTGCCAAGTTTGGCCTCACGGTCATAAAGTTATGGAGTCATAAAGTTTTAAAACCAAAAAAAAAAGGTTAAACATAAGAGAGGATGCAACACGAGGACTTCCCGGGAGGGTCACACATCCTAGTAGCTACTCTCGCCCAGCACGCTTAACTGCGGATTCTGATGGATCCGTGCATTAGGTGCTGTATGATCGCATCCGTTAGTATATGCAATGCAATCGTATATATTCTTTTTTGAAGACTGATGACCATTCGCCGTGGGTCCCACCCGCTATGTAGGTATACCCCATCTAGTCTTAACCGAGCTTTGATGCTGAAAAAATTCGAAAACAATGCTTGAACAAGTAAATTTTGGGTCCGTAATATAGCCCAAATCACGAAAAATGCCCGAAAAAGGTACTTAAAGGGTCAAAGATTTGGGGTCGACAAAAAGTCAATGGAAAGTTCCATTGTCTGCTTATTTCGTCGGAGGGCTGTCTTTGGCTTTCCGAAAAGGGTATCACATGCCAAGTTTGGCCTCACGGTCTAATAGAGTTATGGAGTCATAAAGTTTTAAAACCAAAAAAAAAAGTTAAACATAAAAAGAGGGATGCAACACGAGGACTTCCCTGGAGTCACCCATCCTAGTACTACTCTCGCCCAGCACGCTAACTGCGGAGTTCTGATGGGATCCGGTGCATTAGTGCTGGTATGAATCGCAATCCGTTAGTATATGCAATGCAATCGTATATATTCTTTTTTGAAGACTTGATGAAACCATTCGCCGTGGGTCCCACCCGCTATGTAGGGATACCCCATCTAGTCTTAACGAGCTTTGATGCATGAAAAAATTCGAAAACAATGCTTGAACAAGTAATTTTGGGTCCGTAATATAGCCCAAATCACGAAACTGCCCGAAAAGTACTTAAAGGTTCAAAATTGGGGTCGACAAAAAGTCAATGGAAAAGTTCCATTGTCTCTGCTTATTTCGTCGGAGGGCTGTCTTTGGGCTTTCCGAAAAGGTATCACATGCCAAGTTTGGCCTCACGTCTAAAAGTTATGGAGTCATAAAGTTTTAACCAAAAAAAAAAAGGTTAAACATAAAGAGGGATGCAACACGAGGACTTCCCGGGAGGTCACCCATCTAGTACTACTCTCGCCCAAGCACGCTTAACTGCGGAGTTCTGATGGGATCCGGTGCATTAGTGCTGGTATGATCGCATCCGTTAGTATAGTATATGCAATGCAATCGTATATATTCTTTTTTGAAGACTTGATGAACCATTCGCCGTGGGTCCCACCCGCTATGTAGGGATACCCCATCTAGTCCTTAACGAGCTTGATGCAATGAAAAAATATTCGAAAACAAGTGCTTGAAAGAGTAATTTGTGGGTCCGTAATATAGCACAAATCACGAAAATGCCCGAAAAAGTACTTAAAGGTCAAAATTTGGAGGTCGACAAAAAGTCAATGGAAAGTTCCATTGTCCTGCTTCTTTCGTCGGAGGGCTCTCTTTGGGCTTTCCGAAAAGGTATCACATGCCAAGTTTGGCCTCACGGTATAGAAGTTATAGAGTCATAAAGTTTTAACCAAAAAAAAAAAAAAAAAAGAGGGATGCAACACGAGGACTTCCCGGGAGGTCACCCATCCTAGTACTACTCTCGCCCAAGCACGCTTAACTGCGGAGTTCTGATGGGATCCGGTGCATTAGTGCTGGTATGATCGCATCCGTTAGTATATGCAATGCAATCGTATATATTCTTTTTTAAGTCTTGATGAACCGTTCGCCGTGGGTCCCACCCGCCATGTAGGGATACCCCATCTAGTCTTAACGAGCTTTGATGCATGAAAAATATTCGAAAACAATGCTTGAAAAGTAATTTTGGGTCCGTAATATAGCACAAATCACGAAAATGCCCGAAAAAGTACTTAAAGGTCAAAATTTGGAGTCGACAAAAAGTCAATGGAAAAGTTCCATTGTCTTGCTTCTTTCGTCGGAGGGCTCTCTTTGGGCTTTCCGAAAAGGTATCACATGCCAAGTTTGGCCTCACGGTATAGAAGTTATAGAGTCATAAAGTTTTAACCAAAAAAAAAAAAAAAAAAAGAGGGATGCAACACGAGGACTTCCCGGGAGGTCACCCATCCTAGTACTACTCTCGCCCAAGCGCGCTTAACTGCGGAGTTCTGATGGGATCCGGTGCATTAGTGCTGGTATGATCGCATCCGTTAGTATATGCAATGCAATCGTATATATTCTTTTTTAAGTCTTGATGAACCGTTCGCCGTGGGTCCCACCCGCCATGTAGGGATACCCCATCTAGTCTTAACGAGCTTTGATGCATGAAAAATATTCGAAAACAATGCTTGAAAAAGTAATTTTGGGTCCGTAATATAGCACAAATCACGAAAATGCCCGAAAAAGTACTTAAAGGTCAAAATTTGGAGTCGACAAAAAGTCAATGGAAAAGTTCCATTGTCTTGCTTCTTTCGTCGGAGGGCTCTCTTTGGGCTTTCCGAAAAGGTATCACATGCCAAGTTTGGCCTCACGGTATAGAAGTTATAGAGTCATAAAGTTTTAACCAAAAAAAAAAAAAAAAAAACAGAGGGATGCAACACGAGGACTTCCCGGGAGGTCACCCATCCTAGTGCTACTCTCGCCCAAGCGCGCTTAACTGCTGCAGTTCTGATGGGATCCGGTGCATTAGTGCTGGTATGATCGCATCCGTTAGTATATGCAATGCAATCGTATATATTCTTTTTTAAGTCTTGATGAACCGTTCGCCGTGGGTCCCACCCGCCATGTAGGGATACCCCATCTAGTCTTAACGAGCTTTGATGCATGAAAAATATTCGAAAACAATGCTTGAAAAAGTAATTTTGGGTCCGTAATATAGCACAAATCACGAAAATGCCCGAAAAAGTACTTAAAGGTCAAAATTTGGAGTCGACAAAAAGTCAATGGAAAAGTTCCATTGTCTTGCTTCTTTCGTCGGAGGTCTCTCTTTGGGCTTTCCGAAAAGGTATCACATGCCAAGTTTGGCCTCACGGTATAGAAGTTATAGAGTCATAAAGTTTTAACCAAAAAAAAAAAAAAAAAAAAGAGGGCTGCAACACGAGGACTTCCCGGGAGGTCACCCATCCTAGTACTACTCTCGCCCAAGCACGCTTAACTGCGGATTTCTGATGGGATCCGGTGCATTAGTGCTGGTATGATCGCAGCCGTTAGTATATGCAATGCAATCGTATATATTCTTTTTTAAGTCTTGATGAACCGTTCGCCGTGGGTCCCACCCGCCATGTAGGGATACCCATCTAGTCTTAACGAGCTTTGATGCATGAAAAATATTCGAAAACAATGCTTGAAAAAGTAATTTTGGGTCCGTAATATAGCACAAATCACGAAAATGCCCGAAAAAGTACTTAAAGGTCAAAATTTGGAGTCGACAAAAAGTCAATGGAAAAGTTCCATTGTCTTGCTTCTTTCGTCGGAGGGCTCTCTTTGGGCTTTCCGAAAAGGTATCACATGCCAAGTTTGGCCTCACGGTATAGAAGTTATAGAGTCATAAAGTTTTAACCAAAAAAAAAAAAAAAAAACAGAGGGATGCAACACGAGGACTTCCCGGGAGGTCACCCATCCTAGTACTACTCTCGCCCAAGCGCGCTTAACTGCGGCAGTTCTGATGGGATCCGGTGCATTAGTGCTGGTATGATCGCATCCGTTAGTATATGCAATGCAATCGTATATATTCTTTTTTAAGTCTTGATGAACCGTTCGCCGTGGGTCCCACCCGCCATGTAGGGATACCCCATCTAGTCTTAACGAGCTTTGATGCATGAAAAATATTCGAAAACAATGCTTGAAAAAGTAATTTTGGGTCCGTAATATAGCACAAATCACGAAAATGCCCGAAAAAGTACTTAAAGGTCAAAATTTGGAGTCGACAAAAAGTCAATGGAAATGTTCCATTGTCTTGCTTCTTTCGTCGGAGGGCTCTCTTTGGGCTTTCCGAAAAGGTATCACATGCCAAGTTTGGCCTCACGGTATAGAAGTTATAGAGTCATAAAGTTTTAACCAAAAAAAAAAAAAAAAAAAAGAGGGCTGCAACACGAGGACTTCCCGGGAGGTCACCCATCCTAGTACTACTCTCGCCCAAGCACGCTTAACTGCGGATTTCTGATGGGATCCGGTGCATTAGTGCTGGTATGATCGCAGCCGTTAGTATATGCAATGCAATCGTATATATTCTTTTTTAAGTCTTGATGAATCGTTCGCCGTGGGTCGCACCCGCCATGTAGGGATACCCATCTAGTCATAACGAGCTTTGATGCATGAAAAATATTCGAAAACAATGCTTGAAAAAGTAATTTTGGGTCCGTAATATAGCACAAATCACGAAAATGCCCGAAAAAGTACTTAAAGGTCAAAATTTGGAGTCGACAAAAAGTCAATGGAAAAGGTTCCATTGTCTTGCTTCTTTCGTCGGAGGTCTCTCTTTGGGCTTTCCGAAAAGGTATCACATGCCAAGTTTGGCCTCACGGTATAGAAGTTATAGAGTCATAAAGTTTTAAACCAAAAAAAAAAAAAAAAAAAAGAGGGCTGCAACACGAGGACTTCCCGGGAGGTCACCCATCCTAGTACTACTCTCGCCCAAGCACGCTTAACTGCGGATTTCTGATGGGATCCGGTGCATTAGTGCTGGTATGATCGCAGCCGTTAGTATATGCAATGCAATCGTATATATTCTTTTTTTAAGTCTTGATGAATCGTTCGCCGTGGGTCGCACCCGCCATGTAGGGATACCCATCTAGTCATAACGAGCTTTGATGCATGAAAAATATTCGAAAACAATGCTTGAAAAAGTAATTTTGGGTCCGTAATATAGCACAAATCACGAAAATGCCCGAAAAAGTACTTAAAGGTCAAAATTTGGAGTCGACAAAAAGTCAATGGAAAGGTTCCATTGTCTTGCTTCTTTCGTCGGAGGTCTCTCTTTGGGCTTTCCGAAAAGGTATCACATGCCAAGTTTGGCCTCACGGTATAGAAGTTATAGAGTCATAAAGTTTTAACCAAAAAAAAAAAAAAAAAAACAGAGGGATGCAACACGAGGACTTCCCGGGAGGTCACCCATCCTAGTGCTACTCTCGCCCAAGCAGCGCTTAACTGCGGAGTTCTGATGGGATCCGGTGCATTAGTGCTGGTATGATCGCATCCGTTAGTAT